AACTTTTGCTTCAAAAAAAAAACTTTAAATTAATTTTTATTAATTTTTTTGCTAATAATATTTATTACTTTTTTAATTATAAGTATGCAAAATATAAATCATAAAATAATAATAATAATAATAATAATAATAATAATAATAATGATATTATTTTATTCACATAATAATTGTTTTACATATTTATATTAAAAAGTAAAGTTAGTTGGACCTTATAATGAAAAGTTAACTAAAATGTAAGCCTTAAAGTGAGAATAACCTAAAATATAAACCTTCTATTGAAAAAGTAAAAAATTCAGGCCTTAGATTAATACAATTAATAAAAGTTAGGTCTTCTAGTAGAATTTCCCCCAAATTGTATAGAAAACGTATTTCTTAAATACATGCTTTCTATTGTTGTCCACTCCCTTTTTTTGTCCACATGTTTTTTAATTTTTTTTTTTTTAATATATAAATTACTCGAGCACTATGAGCTCAAACTCAACAAGTCTAATTTTGAATACATGAATATATGGAGTAATTAATTTTTGTATAGCAAAATAAATAGCACCAAATACTAGATTGTTTTAGGTTGATGGTAGTGTGATGTCGTGGATTACCAAACAACATGTGAACAAACTCACGCTCTTAAAACCGACCTTAAGGACTTGCAAGGCGCATTGGGGGGACTCTCTGTGTAAATATTCAAAAGCTCAATTACGGACACCAAAGAACATTTCATAATGGTTGAACATGTGAGCATAATAAGAATGTAATCAGACATTCACACATGTGGGATACACATTTACATAACGATGACATAATCTTACTCGAAACCTTAATATTATGCTAAGAGCTCATCAAAATCACACGAGATCTTCTCGATATACGTATGGACTTATTTTTTCTTGTTATATAAAGATTTTTTTAAGTAGTCTAGTTCACAATTTCGTGCTCATCACAAGCATATCGTCTCGACCTACACCCCATCTGTCATGTTAGATCGAACATGATTAGGTTGTTGAGGATTTTAGCTCGATCCAAGCTACTCCAAAAGATTGGTCTTTGTCCAACCCACGAGTAACCTAACCGATATGTCACCTATCTATGCCTCATAATTCGAGCCAATACCTAACTTGACCATGTGGCTATATCATTTGCTAAATTGTATTATGAAACTTATAAGTTATGATTTATACTGTTGTTTTATTTTAATTACATGCATTTTACTTGTCTACGTGTTTTTGCTATGTCAACAGTAGCAAAATTGTTCGTTTAATTCTTCATTAAAATACAGTCATAAACTCCAACTATTTCAGTCACAAGATAATTACTTACTTCAAACTAAAATCTCAATAAAACTATACAATCATCATTCAACATAATTATTTTACATACACATATTTGTTTATATCTCCAATAACCTATACATATATCTTATAATTTGTATTAACATAAACATCATTGTTAGAGTTAACTTATTACGATATCAAAACATCTTTGTTATTGTAGTAGTATTGTCATTGTAGATAAACAATTAGTTTTTTTTTTTTT